TGAATCATGAAGAAATATCAATTCCAAACCAATTATTAGTAAGGATATTGAAACAGTAATCAAAACCTCCCAACAAATAAAATCCAGATCTAGATGTTTTCATTAGTGAATTCTATCAACTATTTAAGGAATTAATACCAATCCTTCTCAAACTCTTCCAAAAAAACCTGAAGAGTAGGGAACAGTCCCAAACTCATTTTATGAGGCCAGCCCTGCTTTGTTACTAAAGCCAGATAAGAACTACGGGAAAAGAAACCTACACACCAGCCTCCCTGATGAATACAGATAAAACATTCTCAGTAACATATTAGCAAACCAAAAATTTTTCAACTCCCTGAGACCCTCCCCAGGCTTTTTTTCCTTTTTATTGAATTTATTGGGGTGACACTGGTTAACAAAATTCTATAGATTTCAGGTGTACAATTCTACAGTACCTCATCTGTACACTGTATTGTGTGTTCACCACCCCCTGTCAAGTTTCCATTAATCACCATTTATCCCGCTAAACCCTCCTCTACCTCCTTCCACTCTCCCTCCCCTCAGCAATCACCACACTCTAGTCCATGTCCGTGAGGTTTTTTTCTCTCTTTTTTCTTTTTTTCACAATCCCTCCGCTCTCCCACCCAATCCCACCCCTCCATCCACCAACAGCTGTCAACCTGCTATCTATAAGTCTGTTTCTATTTTGCTTGTTAGTTCAGTTTGTTCATTAAATCCCATGTATAAGTCATATCATATGGTGCATATCTTTCTCTGACTGGTTTATTTCACTTAGCATAATGCTCTCCAGGTCCATCTCTGCTGTGGCAAAGGGTAAAATTTCCTTCTTTTTTATAGCCCAGTAGTATCCCATTGTGTAAATGTACCACAGCTTTTTTTTTTGCTTTAAAAAAAATCTTTATTGTTGAAAGTATTACATATGTCCCTATTTTCCCCCATTGACCTCTTTTAGCCTGCCCTCACCACCTGCCCCAGGCCTTCACCACCCTATTGTCTGTGTCCATGGGTTATGCATATATGTATACAAGTTCTTTCATTGTTCTCCTCCCACCCACCCATCCTCCCCTGTCTTCCCTCTGAGATTCCACAGTCTGTTCCATGCTTCTCTGTCTCTGGATCTATTTTGTTTATCAGTTTATTTTGTTCACTAGATTCCACATATGTGTGATCATGTGATACTAGTCTTTCTCTGACTGGCTTATTTTGCTTAGCATAATACTCTCCAGGTCCCTTCATGCTGTCTCAAAGGATAAAAGATTCTTCTTTTTTACTGCTGTATAGCATTCCATGGTGTAAATGTACCACAACTTTTTTACCCACTCATCTATTGATGGACATTTGGGCTGTTTCCAAATGTTGGATATTTTAAATAACACTGCGATGAACATAGGAGTGCATATATTCTTTCAAATTAGTGTTGTGGGTTTCTTTGGATAAATTCTCAGAAATGGAACACCTGGGTCATAAGGCAGTTTCATTTTTAATTTTTTGAGCTAATTCCATACTTATTTCCACAATGGTTGCATTCATATGCATTCCCACTAACAGTGCACAAGAGTTCCTTATTCTTTTCTCAAAGTTTATAATGGACAAACAATCATTATTGATGCTTCCTCTTCTTTTCTTAGGTAAGATTCATTTATTTTTGAGATTTTATGTATATAATTTCTCTTAATTTACTTAAAGTTTTACCTTTCAAAAACAGAAATTTTTAGATTTCTAAATTAACAGATTTCTAGATTTCCCAAAAACTGTAAATTGTTTTATTATTTGTAACATAAAATTGTCAAATAAAAAAATATCTTCCCTAGTATCTGTAAGCATAGAGATGACAGTTTTCTTTTTCTTCACATATATCCTTTCAAAGATGTTAGAGAAAAAAGTTAGAGAGCAGATCAAAGAAAGATAATATCTGTAATTATAAAATAAACTGTAAGCAGAAAAAGAAGAAAAGCACTAATAACCAAAGCCATTTGTCACAACATGAAAGTCAATCATTTGTAGTCAACTAAGGCGAAGAGCTGAAGGTGATGTGGCAAAAGTCTTGGTTTAAAGGCTAACGCTGTGTACTTTCTGATTGGTTGGAAATCAGTGATCAAAGGCTCAGTTGCTATTTAACAAATGTTTAAAACTCTGAGAATAAACTGAAAACATAGGGGAGAAGCAGTGATTGTTTGTAATGCTTGCAGAACAGCCTCATTTGTGCTTATTAAATCCTTCCTTGGCTAGCTTTCCTGCTGTGTACAACTCACTATGAAAAGGAGGCACTTTCGAGGTACAGCTGGAGACCAAGTATAACAGGATTTCAAAACCCTAAACATTCTAAAATGTCCTATGATTTCCCACATGCTTACTTTAGAATTCTAAGGCTTCCATTGTTAACCATTTTATGTGTGTGGTTTCTGATTAATTACACTACTTGAAATGCTGCTTGAAAAACCTAAGTCATAATAATGATAATACCTGAAAGGGATAAAAGATTTTTTCTACGTAGTTTAAAGTGTACTGGTTGGTTCTTATTGTAAAGGTAAAATTGGGCAAAATATTCATTGTTTGGAGGTGTTTTAGTTCATTGTCACCAGAGTTAATATAATAAATTAGTTTCCAAGACATTGCAGATTATACTAAAGATACAGACATCTTTATGGGTTCAAGTTTATTTATTTACAAAATAAGGTGGTTAGATTATGTCCCTTTTTAATTATAAAATTTTATTAATCTAAAAAGGAATATTTAAAATTATTCTCAATCATAAATAGCAACCATTTAAGTCTTCATATCCATACTCTCTTTGGCATCCCTCTGTCTCTCTTGTTTCTTCTGTGGAAACAAATAGTAGCTGGAGGCAAGCAGCAAGCACAACGTTTCTTGTAGGACATCCATACAGATAAAACCTACTATAGTGTTGGAAGTGCTGAGGGTGCTTTGTACAATACTAAAATATTTCAAAGTTCATACAGAAAAGTATATTTAGAGGATTTGTTAAATTTTATGTCTAACCTATAAAGAGCTTGGGAGTCATCAGTTCTATCCTTATAACAAGAAAAACCTGGAAAAATGGAAAATCAGTGACTTTTCCTGGAAACTACAGAGAACTTAAATCTCAGAGCAAACTACCACCTGAAAATCTGGAGATCAGTTGAGTATGAGGATCAGGGTAATGTGTTGGAGCTGAATTGTGAGAGGGTTTCAGTGAGAGGATCTTAGAAACTAGATGAGCATGCTGGGAAGTATTAGGAACACTCCTGAGGCTACTGGGGGGTTATTTAAAGTGAGATGAAGTTAGCAGTTGTGTGTTTTTCTGAAGGACAAATGAGCTGTAAATCTGTGTAATAGGCAGAGAAATGGCTTTAAAACAGGCTGGGGGTTGCCAGGCTAGTATCACAAATCAAGAAAAAGGTAAGGCGGTTGAGGTTTTATGCAAAAGGATAATGATCATAATGGCCAGGGAAACATGCTCTTATGAGGGAAGTGTGAATAGGGGAGTGTTGATTGTCAGTGAAAAAGTCATTGGATCAATGGATTACAGGACCAAACTGGGTCCAAGGTTGAACCCCCATCTGCTGACTTTAACGGAACATGAGCCATTATTTGTTTTACTATAATCCTTTTCTATGTACTGAATACAGGCTTCCTAAAATCTCCTGAAGCTTAATATTTAGACACTGCCATGCCTCACATTTTGAAGTTTCTCAAGTGTAGCTTACATTTACAGGCTGCTAAGATTATACTTTTTATTTATTCACAGGATGAAGCTTTTAAGTTGTTTTTAATGTGTCTGTATATTAAAAGAGCTCAATTGAACAGGTTTTATTTGTAGTCAACTGAGGCAAAGAGCTGAAGGCAAATAACACTGCAATGAACATAGGAGTGCATATATTCTCCTTTTAGGAGAAGACAATATTATATGTACCATCAGATTTTCCTAGAGATTCTGTCTGTAACAAAGAGTAGCATAGGTTTATTTTAGACTTAGTAGTAATAAGTACTCTAGAAGTAATGGATGAAAATGACTTTTGCATGGGTTAGCTAAGAAGCAATTGTATTGCATATTTGTATATAGCAAAGCTAAGCAATAGAATAAAAAGTTATCTTTTTTGCAGCTATACCAGCTGTGCCACTTGCTTTAAAAGAGGATGAAGAAGATGGAAAGACTAAATTGTCCCTTACTATAGAGTGGAAAGGAAAAGAGAGCAACTTACAATGAAATATATCTATAAGCAGTGCTCTGAATAGACTAGGAGAGGAGAGGAGAGGAGAGGAGAGGAGAGGAGAGGAGAGGAGAGGAGAGGAGAGGAGAGGAGAGGAGAGGAGAGGAGAGGAGAGGAGAAAGGAGAGGAGAGCCAAGGTCTGTCTGTGTTAGGTGCCAGAACCTTGCAGAGGGAAAAAACAAGAACTTGCCCTTGAACTGAGTACAGGCTAGTGAATAAAAAGAAAACGGAACTAGAAAAAAAAAACAAACACAAAAAACTTGCAATATAATGTGGTAAGGGTCAATCTAACATATGCTGGATTCAAATATACACAACTTAACTTCCCCATAAGAGGATGAAGGTTGGGTATATATAGTTTGGGTAAATCAAAGTTCTCAAATTAGTTAGCAGAACACAAGTTTAAAGCTTCAGACAATCTTTTACAGGTGTTTAGTACAAAAATGGGGGGATAAAGTGTGTGTGTGTAGTTTTGTCCACAGCCTTTTGCTTAGACCCATTTTTCTTATTGATATTTTAATTCAACAATTTCTTAATGTATTAATTTTCCAATAGAATGTAATTAAATCAATTCCTGTTTAACCAAAAGAAACCCAGAATAGTTAGAACAGAGAGCCAGCCCCTGCTGGCTGGAATGCAGACTGCAAGGAGCAAGCCCAGGAATGCTGGGATTAGTGGAGATCCATCCATATACTCTGTTTACATAATTATGCCTCCATAAATACCATGCACAGCCAAGTTATTTAGTCTTCTATAATTAAGCTTTCTTTCTTTTTCAGTTTATTAAAAAAATCAATTTTTTAGAATTATTAATAACAAATTGGTTTTTATTTGTTTAGTTTTCCATGTCCCTATAATGAATTTATTCTCCACTATCACCAAAAGTGTACATTTTTCCTCTATTCATCTCATTTTATTTCTTGGGGACATCCATTCTGGTGCCTTCTGTCCTCCTGCCCCAATCCTGACTGATCACTCTCTAAGCCAGGCCGTCTGTCACCCTAGGATTTCCCTTCGTCATCATCTTGGGGATTCTCTTCATTTCTCACCTATGTTGAATATCCTGTTTCTAGGACCACATGTCTTCCTGTTTCTTAGTTTATTCTCTCGTTTTGGTGCACCACATCCTCCAGTAGTTTCCTGAGAAAGGATAGATGGGTAGGAAGTAAAATTTTCAAGATTTCATATACTTTAAAAAAAAATAAGATTTCATACATCTGAAAATGTGCTTACTTTAGTGAATTCACAATTTTGGCTAATTCCTAAAATTATAGGTAATAATTTGAAAGCATTCCTCCACTGTCTTCCAGTATGGCTGAGGAGCATGGTACCACTCTGACCTTTGCTCCTTTTCATGTGACCTGCGTTTTCTCTCTGGAAGATTTTTAGTAACTTTCCTCTATGTACTCAATGATCTGAAATTCATTTGTTTTTCATCCATTATGTGGGCCTCTCATTCTGGAGATGATTTCAGTTCAGAGATCATTTCTTTTTTTCAAATGTTTTTGATTATTTCAAAGAGGAAGGGAGAGGGATAGAGAGCTAGAAACATCAATGATGAGAGAGAATCACCAATGGACTGCCCCCTTCCCCCTCCCACTAATGGACTGCCCCCTTCCTAGCCCTCCCACTGGGGACGGAACCCACAACCTGGGCATGTGCCCTTGGCCGGAATCAAACCCGGGACCCTTCAGTTCACAGACCGATGCTGTATACACTGGGTCAAACCAGCTAGGGCTATTTGTGTACATTTTAAAAATATTTGATGTTTTTAAAATGCCACTATAACTCTGGATTTTTAAATTTGTCATTTTCCTTTCCATTATTTTCAGTTTTCAGTCACCACTCTGAAAAGAACTGATCTAGACAATATGATGCAGTAACACAAATATGGTGTTTGGTCACTGCCATGTAGGAGTTTTAATCTATGAGAAAAAGAAACATGATATATGCATATGTATCTGTTTACTTTAGCAAACATCCATGGTATGTCTAATAAGCATTATGTTATATGCTGGAAATTTTAAAAAATGAAATATACATTTATTCATTCATTTACTCAACAAAAAATTACCTTACATTTCTATGATATACCTTGTGCTATTCTAGGTATTATTGAATCTATAGTCAACAAGATTGACACATTTCTTGTTTACAAAGAGATTATGTTCTGGAGCATAAACAAACAAAGACAAATGAATAAGATTGTGGTTATGCATTTTAAGGGAAAATGGGAAAGAGAACAAGGAAATGTTGAGGAAGAAATTTAGGAAAATATTTCTCTTGTTTGCAAAAGATGGGGGTGGCAATGAAGTGGGAATAAGATTATACTCCATGAATTGTTGTGTATATCCCAGGTTTTTATTTTTTGGGGGGAAGGAAGAGTGGTGATTTTGCAGAATTTTATTTCACACTTACATTGGCTAAGTAAATCGTTATAAGTTAGGCATTCATGGATCTATGTTGGAAAGATGTGCCACAAACCAAGAATAATGATTGATCGCATTTTGTACATCTGCAGTCCAATAAGAAAGATTGGAAATAAGAGAATGAGAATGAGTGATCTACCTTTTCTACGTTGTTTTTCTTCTTTTGTTTCTTTAAATTTATTTATTCCTTTATATTGGGGTACATTTTAGTTGAGATATTGAAAACTTAAACATAGACAATTTCAAAAATAAAGGTTATTGATACTTTTACTCTCTTTATTCCACAACATGGTATCCTGTCTTTTCCAGAGAGAGAAAGATTCAAGCAACAGGTATACCCTATTTATGAAGTAGTCTCAGAGGTCTATTTTGGCCACATTTTTTTTATAGTCCCTTAATGTGACCAACATGCAAGAGGTAGGAAATTGGCTTTACATTTTGAAGGTAATAGGTTAGAGAATTTGTAGAGATATTGTAAAATTACCACAGTTGGTGTTTAGAACTAATAATTCTTCAACATATCATAAATTCATTACAACTGGGAAGTTTTCAAGGCCTGACTCATCGAAGGTTCATTTTTATGATGCCAAGAGGTTATATTTAAAACATTTAGGAATGAAATCACACAGGCTCTAAACAAGTAGAAGAGGAAGCGACCCACCAGTATGGCGCTCAGCACTTTCACTGTGTTCAGGCTAGAAGTCGCTTTGCTGTTCCTGGACTTTATAAAATGGAAAGGATGTTTTGAACTGGTTTTGGAAAACTCTGTTATTTTCACTTAAAATTTCTCCTTGCCTCTTCTTCTAAATTCAATTTAAACCTAAATTCTCCTCTTGTAAATCCAATTAGATTTTCTCACTTTATCCTCCATGTTCTTGACCCTCTCATTGAATGCACATGCTTTTATCTCTTTGTGAAAACTTCTGGATAACTTTTTTTTTTTTTTTTTTTTGTTTTCCGGGTTTTTTTTTTTTTTTTTTCTGCAGGAGTAAAGACTATTTTGTTAAAAAGCATCCTGTGAATTTAAATCATAACTGCTGTATTTTTATTTCTAGTGATTTTGCTTGTTTTTTCCTAAGTTTTCTTTTATATGAAGCCTCTTACATTTTTGAAATATTTATTTTATATTCTGTATCTGACAATTCTAGTGCTTGAATCAATTTTGTTTTTTCTGTTGATGCTATTTACTTGGAGAATTACATTTCATTTAATATCAAATTTTTTATGTGATGTTGAAAGCATTTATTGAGCTTAGTTTAATTAAGTGATACAACAATAACAAACATGGCATTAACAAGTTTTGGAAAAAAATACTACTGTTGTTGAAATCATTTAAGTGCACTGTTAGGAAGAGAATTGTGTGAGCATCGGAGAATCAGTGTGCCATGGGCATCAGAACACTATGTAAACCCACAAGTCAGTTAAGTAGAAGGAAACAGGCTAAAACTGTTGAATGACTGTTTTATATTCATTTCTTTTGGCCTCTGAATAACAGTCCAGAAGTTGTCTGCAACTCCTTACAAAGGGCCTGGGGCATTTCTCTCTCTCTCTCTCCTATTGCCACTTGTGCACTTCAATCAAATGCAAATACCATGAACAACACTCTGCTACCTGTGAAGCCAGCTCTACTAATGCCTGTGGGTTGGTGTATTTTCTGTACCAAATGTTTTCCCAGATCATTGGATCTAAAATAGTGACAGGTGTTGTGGACTTTATTACTCCTCTTCAGGAAAAAAAAAAGAATGAGTGCACTTAAAATTTTTAATAAGTAAAATGGAATCCTTTCAAGTTGGCTTACCCTTTT